AACATAATCATAAACATGCATTTTATATTTATATGTTCCTACATTTTACAGTATACTTAAACTGTACAGAAAGTTGATATCTTCTAATGTGAGCTTATCTTTAAAAAGATTTTGTACTTTCACAGTTATTTAAGAATGTCCACCATTTCCTATGCAATATACACAAAATGTACAGCACCTCCAAATTATACATAGTATTTCATTCCTAAGTCAAACCCTACCCATAATACATGTCAAATCAAAAAAATTTTAGAAACTGAATTATATTTTACAAGTATTAAAGTGGATAACTGAGATACAATCAGACTAGAACATGGAACAGAATGCTATTTATCACTTGCCTCTTTTTGCTTCCTGACAACTGCAATGAATTCTGTGTAGACTATGCGTCGATCCAGTTCACAATGCATTAATGTAGCACCTTCATAGTCTTTGATGTAGCCTTGATATGCACTTCGGGACAACTTGATGTCTTTACTGAAACCTTGTTTCTTGAAGTATCCTGGTAAGACATTTTAACTGAATGTTTATCCAATACAAACTTTGGGAAAAGCAGGAAACTGCCTCGTTAACTGCTCAGCATGTCAGGCCTGCACAGCATGTTCCCGTCACACAACTGCACTGTATTTCTAAAGCTATGAATTGCAGGCATCCTTTGTAGGACTATTTCTTAAGGCATTACAAAGTGAATGGTGTGAAAGTATGAACAGTCTACTCCATTTTTTGTAATTATTAATCATAATATGGCAAGTTAAATATCCTACCATTCTTTCACTGCTAAGTACTAAACTACACAAATAATGACTAGTGGCTTCTGTCCCATAGAGACTTGTGTAGCTGAACAGATACAAGGCAATGTATGACAGAACTGTGATTGATCCTTCTTGTATTTGATGCACACATCTGAGTGCAGGGCATCTGTAAGAGGTTCTTACAAGGTAACATTTTATGACATTTCCCACATTTTTACATTTTTTAGATTTTGAGTGAAATTTGGAGAAAATTTATTTTGGACTGGTGACAAGTTCTGCTTCCACAGTAATAATTTGTAAAAGCATTATTTCCAATAATTTGTATTCAGCAACTGCAGAGTATTATGAAACATTCATATCATAGCCTTTACTATATGACATTAAAATAAACAAAATTCTATATATGAACACCTACATTTAAACTGTAGCAATATTTTAAATAAATGATAAAAAATTTAACAATTTTAATGTAGAATTAAAAGGAATATTTTTGTTTGTCATAAATGTATGAATACTAATGAAAGTTATGCTACAGAGCAGTATTTTCATGTTTGGTTCCAAAATCAAGCATCAGTGAAGTAGAACAATGTGGATCAACCTTTAGCTTACTAGAGATCCATATGCTAGGCTCTTGCTGGGCATTTAAATTGCATTAAAGATCTAGGGAACAAATTAAGTAAGTTAAATCTCAATATGGCACTTGGAGACCAAATTACTTCTTTAAGATGCTGGAAGTCTACACTTCTACATGTAATATGATTTTCAGCTTTATGACTAAATATACATAGCAGCATACCTATAGCAAATTCATCTGCAAATGTGAGGAAATGTAAGATGTTATGTCCAATATGGTAGTCCTTCAGGTGATTCATAAGATGAGTTCCATATCCTTTTACTTGTTCATTGCTTGTTACAGCACAGAAAACAATTTCTGTAAACCCTTGTGTCATGAACGTTCGGAAGCAAATACCTCCAATAGGACGATTATCTTTAATAAGGGCCAGAGTTTTATGTTTCCTGAAACAATTAAATGTAGCATCATTAAAAGAGAGTATGGGCCATGTGTACTTGATGTTTTCCCTAATTACATATTTTCTGTTTACTAACAAAATGCTAACACCCTGATATTTTATTAAAATCTTCTTCAGTGAAAAGCACAATTGCTCTAAATAACCCCTTTCACTGCTCACCTTGTAGCAAAAAGAAGATAAGTTGGGATATTTACTCACAGCATAAACATTCTTGCTTATTAGTGTTATAGTTCCTAATTTTTAACTTCTGAATGCAAATGAAAATTTATTACAGTAGAATCCTGTATTTACAATTATCTGCGGATTGGTATAAAATGGTGTAAATTGCAGGAATTGCAAAAGTCATATGCTATGAACATATCTTCCCTCTGATCCTGTATCTAACTGCCTAGCTACCACACAGAAAGAGTTGTTAATTTCTAAAAATATCACATATTTCAAAATTTTAAATAAATTCCTGCAGTTTCCAGGTGCATATACATCATACTAAGAGATTTTACTATAAACTGTAATTTTTAATAGACATTATTCATTCTGGAAAATTATAAACAAAGTATATTCAAAAACATATTTAGTCAGGTCAGAAATGTAAAGCTTAAAACTAATTAAAATGAATTAACTTTACAAAACTTGTAAGGATAACATTTGCAGCAAAGTATTTCCACATATCAAGTCTCATAAACATCTGTCAAAGGGCTCCAAAGGTGTTTGAGTTAGACTGTTAAGTGAAATGGGCATGAAACTGAATTGTGGTGAATGAAAATTACACATCATAATATAATAAAAGTGCTACATATTAAATTCAATAAAATCTGTCAAAAAACTCAAATAAAATACATAAAAGTATGTTCAGGTCCTTAATACAAACCACTAAAACAAAATACAAATTGGTTGGACAAAACACAGTGAAATCTACAAATCAGTATGCTAGTTATGTTACTTGCACAAGGAAGATGAATGTGGCAAAACTAGCAGATGGTTTTCAAAACCTAACATGAGACAACATATATTGTATAAACTTACGGGTCAAAGACAAGACGTGAAATATATTCCTTTGGCATACGAGGCAACTGGTGGGAGAACACATTTTGAAGACCAATGAGCCAAAGCATTGTCTGCTTTGAAACTGCTGATGTTAGTGAATTGCCAACAACATGAAATGATATGATTCCTCGCAACTCCTCTTGTTTGGCTGTTTCATCTCGTGGTGCATTCTCAGGGAAAACTGCCTGTAATGAAGTTACTTGTTTCAGCAACAACAACAAAATTCAGGTCTCAAAATAGTATGATGATATACTGTTTCTTGCTCAATATTATTTGCACCTTATTGTGGTAATCCTCATTCAGTAACATCACAGTCTTTATCTGCTTGCACTCAGATTCAGACTTGGGCTCTGGGCAGGTATGAATATATGTGGGATGGTTTGGACATACAGTTACATCACAGCCCTGATGATGGGGAAGCAATGATCCGTGATTTTTAACCAGTTGATATGGCTGATAGCCAGATAAGATTTTATCAGTGGTAATCACCATGAGAACTTTAGATTGTAGGTTAATAATTACTACCACTTATTATAGTAAAAATTTATTCTGTTAAATTCTATGTCATTGTTTGGCATCTATATGCAAAGGGGAACTATTAGTTTTATATATGTATAGGTGCATAATGAGCATACCAAAGAAGACTATCCTATATTTCAGGTTAAATTCAGTGTTTTCAAATGGATAACCTTGCAGTTTCTGCTTCAAAATATGACCACTCATTAAAAGCACCCATCTGTCCAAGTGTTTGAAATAATTGTCCTCCCCAAACCAGTACACTGACTTTTCTCTGAGTTTTCCTTCAGATAAAATGAACTACTTTACCCGACTGATTAAACTTCACTTTACATGCACTATCAAACTACCAAAAGGAATGGTCCTTTAAGACAAAGTTTAGATAGACAAATCATGCTTGCAAACGCTAAAATGTCTGCAACAAGGTAGATATGATGGAAGGACTCTGATGGAGAGGACAGAAGTTTCAGAACTGATGAAGTTGTGTGTCAAGAGGTTAAGAACAGTCAATCTAGGAATCTGCTCTGGGAAAGTCTGGCTGAAAGAGGTATGGCATTTCATTGGAAGTTCAAAAAATTAAGTTTATTTACCTCAGGGCCAACCATGTTTGGTGGTGCATCTATTGTAGCAATAATTTCTGCAACAGTAGCCTCTGGCAAATCTTCCATTGACTCTGGAACCAGGCGACGTTTCTTGGCATCAGATGGTTGGAAACTTGCTCCTTCAAGTGTCACAGATGCAATCCTCTTTTCACCCAAACTTTGTAAATCAGAAATGCAAGATTATCAAAAGATGGGGTACTCCACTTATATAACCTATAAATACCATACTGTCAAGAAGGATGACATGAGTGGGGCATATATCACACATGGGGGAGATGAGAAATGGGGTGGTCATAAGACCTAAAGCGACGGGAATCACTTGAAAGAACTAAGCACAGACAATAGAATAATATTAAAATGGATCTTACAAAATAGGGCAGAGATTTGTAGACTGGATTCATGTGACTCAGAACAGGGAATGATGATTTCTTGTTAATATGATAATGGACCTTCCAGGTTCCATTAAAAGTGGGGAATTTCTTGATTAGATGATAAACAATTAGCTTCTCAAGGACTCTGTTCTATTGAACAAGTGTTTGAGCTAGTAACTTACACCATACTAAGTTCAGTTTAGGGAAGGTCTTGAGACATCATACAAATTTGTGATCTTATAATGCAAATTCCAGTAAATACAGAATGCACAGAGAAACAGTAGCATTTAATCAACTACATCATGTTACCCAAATATATGTTGATACCCTTCTCAGAATTAAAATTTAGAGGAAACATTTTTGTTCTGGTTGCTATTTTGTACAATTGTGAAGTAACATATTGGGTAGCCAAGAAAACGTTTTAAAAGAATTGGTAAAAATTGTTTTCATAACCAAAAGAAAAGTTTATAGAGGCAGAAGAAAAAGTTTCTTCATATCTAAATGAGAACTGGCAGTGCTTATTTGCCATCATATGGCATGCCAATTGAAGGCACTATAAATTATAAAAATAATTACAATGCAAGGCTTCAACACAAGCCAAGGTTGTTTACACATATTTCTTAAATGGAAATATTTCTGTGTGATGCACAAAGGCTACCTAATGCATATAAAGAAAAAATGTTAACATTTCAAAAGTACTGGTACTGTAATCTTCAGCACTGATAACAATAAGACTAATTCAGACAGCAGTGAAAGTACCAGTGGAGCACGCTGATAATTTGAGTACAGCATCATTTTTTATTTATTTCTCAAGCTAATATAGTTGTCAGCCATAGTTCATATTTATATAGATTTCTAGAGTGGAACTAGCCACAATAACATAATTGATCACAGTCTGGTCTTTAATATGATCCACTCAAATAACATTTTGTTCTTAAAACTACAATAAAATTGGGATGTACATCTTATTTACGGCCACATTTTATTTATTTACCTCGCAGCGCCTCCTTCTCTAAGTTGCTTCTTTCCAAATCCTGGACTCAGGTTAACAGTGGTGAAGTTGTCCTTATCACTTGGTGGCACAGTTAGTTTTTCAAATTCCCCACCACGCCTCAATGCAGATGTTACTGTTGTAGTAGGAAGCTTAGTTTCTAAAGTCACCTGCAGATGGCTAGGTGGAACCTGCTTGAATTCTGGATCCCAAATTGGAGAACTCACTGCATAAATTTCTTCTTCCAACAGTGACAAAAACCTGCATTGCAGTACAACATACATTTAAAATTACCTGCTTTTAGTCAGCAAATTAAGCTAAATATTGAACCAAAATTTCAGAAAGGCATCCTCCAGAATATTTAATTTTATTTAAAAATACTTTCCCAACATAAATTGCTACAGAGTATTCTGTAGGAGAATGACTGCAAATTAACTGAACAGGAAGTGGTCAAGCACTGTAACATTGTAACATCCTACAAGACCACATGGCATCACAAACTAGAAGGCCAAGATTGACAGTTATGAAACAAATTTAATACATACATGTACACAAATGATATCAGGAAATTTACAATGGTCAGCTGGAAACACATCAAGTCTTCATTATTTATTATTTACAATTCAAACAAACAATTCATAAAATATATACAGATACATCTATGAATTTTTCATATTCTTTATCATTCATTCATTATAATTCACCTGGGAAAATGTGTAAGAACAAGAACCCTTTTCTCAGGAGGCATCCTGTCACGTTCATTGTGGCATTTGTCCATGAGCTGACGATACACAGAACGAAACACAGCACGTAACAATGTGCGCCCAAACACTAGTGTTGTCTCAAAATGAGGTAAAGAATCACAAAATGCTGGAACATGGCAAAATACCAGCCACCTGCACAATCAAAAGAGACTTCAGTGCAATATATGAATCAAATTCATCACATAATCAAGATATCTAAAGCAAATAAATGTTAATATAAGTACATGTAATATACCTAACTCTTCTGGATTGTTGGGTTTTTGGACCTTGTTCATCATCTGATGCTATAAAATTATACTGAATTGTATTACACTATCGCCAAAACCTTTCAATCGACTCTTTAATCAGTCGTATGAATATCGATCTAATGAGTATATAAAGTAATTACACAAAATACAAATTTCTTAAAAATTTGTTTAAATTTACAAGGGAAATAGTACCCCAAATTGCCTAATATGGTCAAAAAATAACTGTTTCAGGGTTAAATTTTATGAAGTTCTGACATTAAACTCTCAGAATTTGTATGCAGAACATGACATTTTTTTGGAACAACAAATAGCCATAATGCTGCAGTGCAAACTGTCCAAGATGGATCAAAATGGACTTAGTCAGCTGCCAGTATGAACCCTTAACATTAATTACATGAAATGTCAATTCAGATATGGAAAAAGCTATTCATATGAATGGAAATAGTGGTAATACTGTATATTTGTTTTGGGCAGAACCCACATCACGTTTTCAAACTGTTTAAAATTTGTAGCTGTTTGCATGTCCTTCTTAAGACAACAAAACAAAATGGAATGGAATGTCATTAACACTTCCTGTTTCTTTGAACAGATTAATTTTTATCCTATGGCTGTTTGATCAACTGGATGCCCCTCTTGGTATTTGTCACTAAATTCAGTAGCAACTGATCAACATGAAGTGCCTGGATTTCCACACATTAATTCTAATTCTACCCTCTCAATGTTTTTTTGTTTGTTTTTTTGCAATTGTCACTTACCTGAAAAGAAAGAAAAGTACTTGCTATAATCTGACAATGAAATCTCCTACAAGTACATCTAAACACTATGGTTGTCACTCTTTTTCTGTGCATTTACCTGGTATAGTTTATCTTGTATGCAGACACTTCTTCTGCTGTAACATGTCGTCTTGCACTTGGAGTCTCAAAGTTCCAATGGTTAAGACAATGTAAGAACATCTTGGCCAAATCATACATTGTTTGCCATTCCTGAAGAAAAATGTTATTTATAAATCTGTCCAGACTGTTCATAATTATTTTATTTTTCACTTGCTTCTTATCACCTGGAAAATTTATTTTCTTACCCTTTGAGCAAGATGTCCAAATTTGTAGAGAACAAAATTCGTAATAGCTTTTGCTATGCTTGGCCTTTCAAATGGTGGCTGACCAAGAGGTCCTTCAATGGTAGGTCTTGTCATTGTTAGTATACACTTACGCAGCAACTGGAAGGAAAGCAAGTTTATTGTGCATAAAGTACTGCAACAATTTTAAACTTTAACAAAACCCATAATTTTTTAAACCAATGAGATTCATTTCAGCATAGTGTTCAATTAATTTAGTCCATTACAAGAAAAAGCTATATTCACACAGGCAAAAATTAGTCAAAAACACATTTGGAATGAATGTGCAATAAGCAATCTAATTTTATCTTCAACTTCCACTCCTTTGTTCACCCTAGGTATGGTAACTGTTTTCTTCCCCCTCATGCATGTTTCCTAAAATGTAATTACAATCTTTATAACGTTCCTTTTCATTCACGTGGCAACTGAAGAATTAAATAACATCTTCAGTGAACCTATATATCAGAAGAACCACATAATAATACCAAAAACCTCTACTTTATGAATTTACATATGGAAAACTTGGCTGGTTCAATAGCTACAGATATAATACACCACACTGGCTATTCAGGAAACATATTCAAATTTTTATGATCATCCATTTATTCTATCAGCTGAGACTGTCAACCACTGGATAAAATTTACATGCAGATATCACAGGTGCCTGACTTATGACATCAAAAATTTACACACTTCCTCGAAACCTCATATATTTCATTATACAGTCCCTTATATGTATTCATACTCCACTTACCACTTACACAAATATGAAAACTGCAGCCACCGAGCCAGTATACAGGAAACCAGAGTACTTTGTGAACAGTTTTTCTGTGTTCACCCTACATAAGAGGCTCACATTAGGTTTGAAAAATTAGTCTTTCTTCCCCCTAACTTAACAATTAAAACCAAGATTTTATGATATCTGATGTTATATTTTCTCCATTACTGTATGTTTCTATTTTTGACCTGATCAAATGTCCATAGGATCAATACAGCATTTTTAATTGATTCTGGTAATAACAAAAGGATAAATACCAAAGACAAATAATCTTCAGCACAATTTCACAAATAAAATGAAGCTAGACAGCAATGTTTCTTAATTGAGGCATAACTACATAAAATATATGATGTTAATTCTGAAATAAAAATTCTAAAATGAGATGCAAAATGACTTGTTTCACAAATAAATATAACAATGCTGCAAGGCCACTGGTGTCATAATGTTACATACTTTAAAAAGTCATTAATAACAAGGCATACCTTGAAAAGGTAGTAGTACACACGTTTCGTATCAGCATCTTCTTCACGATGCATGCTCATGAAGATGTTTTCAACATCAACCACCATTCCTAGAAGTCGATTTGCTTCTTCTTCTGACAGTGGTGCAAGATGACTCACATGTGATTCTAATTACAGAAAATCTGGAGGTCATTTTACAGCATTTGGTATTTATTGTGGTTAAAGAGATCTGAGCCATATCTGTGGATACTGCAGATGAGCAAGTATTATTCACATTAACAGAAGACTATTAATAAGAAAATAATCTATTTACTAAAATTATAAATTTTATATTAAAATTTCTGTTCACAATATACATACAGTGGCTTATGATGGAGAAGAATTAGTAAGGTACAAGAATGCTAGATCAATACAGAATAAGAACTACACAGGAAGTTTAATAGGTTCAGATGGCAGATTTAGAAAATAAAAGGCAAACATTCAAGTGGATAAATTGAATAATTTACACACAATTTGGTCGAATAATGTCCACTAGTACTTACACAACATCTTACAAAACACTGGGCAACCAGGCAGACATCCCTTTGCTACCACAACAATGCCTTCTGTTAGATTTCTGTATCCAACAGTGAAACCATACTTCTTCATTTGCCAAAACTGAATCAAATACGTCTATATTCCGTTTAAAATTTTCCACATTTTTCACTGTAGTTTTCAAACTGGAATGTCTTCAAGTCAGGAAATAGCATTCTGGATATTCATTGAGTAACTGTTTATATGTGAACATATAAATTCCCAGTTCACGAGATAAGACAGGGGCTTTGATGTGACAATGTTCGATCATCATCACAAACTACACTTAGTCACAGACAATCATCAATAGCTTCAACAAGCACACAGACCTTAGCTCATCTATGACTGAC